ATTCTATGATTCTATGATTCTATGCTTTTCAAGGGCAAAACCAAGGAAGGAGCAGTTCTCAAGTGAAGCAGTAAGCTTTAACCATGCCTCCTGAGCGCGAGTCCCACGGCAGGAGCCCCGGGGTTGGGGGTAGCATTCATGGGGTTGCTTGATTGACTGCTGTGGACCTGGCTGAACCTGCACTGTGGAAGTTGGGTACAAATTAGGACGAGATTTACAGTAGGAGCAAGGTGAGACCAGGGCAGAACCTGATTGCTTCCCAGAGAGTTTGGAAGCAGTACTGCACAGAACGCTAAGAAATATGTAGAGGCAGGAGATCTGTGGTGGGCAAGAGGAATGACTCCTTCCCTCCATCCCTTCCTTCCTCAGCCACTTTTCCAAGGCTAAAGGTTTCTTGTGTCTTACCTCATTTGATGGCTGCTTTCCCGTGGGATCAAATTTGCTCTGTCCCCCGATGACAAAGAGGAAGTCATTGATGACGGCGACACAGTGGTTGTACACCGGCACGCAGAGGTCCCCAACCTTGTGCCAGGCGCCACAGCTCGGCTCTGCAGCCCACATCTCTCTGCACACACAGTTGTCAGTGGTTCTGCCACCAGCAACAAGCAGCACCGTGGACCCGGAGCGGAGGCTCGTGCTCTGGGTCTGCAGGACTGGCTGAGCGTACGGCTGGGAGTGGTAATTCAGAGCCTCCTGCAGGTACCTGTGGCAGCGCGAGTCCAGCCTCATAAGAGGCATTTCTTGGACACATCTCTGCAGATCCTGCAAAGGAATGAGAGGGAATCTTATGCGCCTTAAAATATCTGCCGCATCTTTCAGCCGCACACGGTCGTGCTGCAGCCAGCTCACAGTAGCTCTGAACAGCTCCAGCTCGCTGCATCCCTCAATGTTGGTCCTGTCTAAAATTTCACAAAGGGTTCCTCGATCCAGGTCTTTCAAGCACCAAGGATCAGCCAGGATCTGCTTGCAGTGCTGCCCTGCATAGCACATGGCTTTCTGTCTCAACTCTGCTGGGCCGAGTTTTTGAGCAATGGTAAGAACATCCATGCAGTTCTCACAGTTCAGGCAGCCCTCCAGAAAGCGAAAGCACAGCTTGATCACCTCCCGAACCAGGAGGGTTTCTGCGGCTTTGAAGGTCTCCTCGATATTCTGTAATGAGAGGTCTAGTTTGTTGGAGTAAATGAAGTTGAGAACGTTCCTCAGCCCGGCAGCGGTGACGGCTTTCAGCCGGACGTTACCATCCGGGCTCCCCGCTCTTGTCACGTTTCCAATAAACAGGATCTTGCAGTAGTTACTTGCTGATGCTAAAATGATCTTGTGGGCTGGAAAGCAAACCCCTTCTGCCTCCAGCGTCACGTCGCACAGCGTGCTCTGCAAGCGAAGGCTGCTGAGCCCTTCCAGGAGTTTCTCCAGGTAGGTGTCCGACACGAGCCTCGCCGTGCTGGCCTGCGAGCCGAGCAGCATTGCTCTGAAAGGCACAGAGCCCTGGAGCAGCCCCGAGACTCTGCTGCAGACACTCAGTGCATCTCCTGGGCAGTCTTCTGCAGCTAAACCAGGGCTTTCATGCTTCAAGGGAGCTGAGGCTGTTTTTCCCAGGGCCCCAGCCGAAAGGCAGGAGCGGCAGCAGCTGTCCTCCTCGGGGGCCACTGCCCGGCGCTGTGCAGGCGCAGAGCGGTGCGTGCCGTGCGGAGCTGCACGGGGCTGTTCGTGAATGGAGCTGTTGGTGCTGGTTGTTGCACAAAACCCCCAGTGTTTGTGGGTTTTGCCTGTGGGCTGTCACACTGGCAGCAGTGGATGGCCACTGGCATAGCCACATTCCTCCTCCTCATTATCTGGTAACTACCCATCCGCACAAAAAAGCAGCTCATTCTTCAGCAGCTCCCAGCTATGCTTCGCTGCGCCGCCAGGTCAGGTGCTCTTTCATCTGGGCAAGCCTGCACACTTTTACTTGAACAACAGTCAAACAAAATCCTGCCTGTGACATGCCGCCTTTGGCCCGCGGACTGAATTTGATGCTTTCAGATGACAGCTGCTTTCAGGGAGGCGGGGGGGGAAGGTCTCAGCAGTTGTGTCCCCATCACAGCTAACGTCCTGTCCCCAGCCTGTGCCTGGGGTCCATTGGGGGTTGGAGGCTGGAGCTCTCCTGAGGACTGGTAAGCCAGTCACTTGGCTTTTGGTGCGAGCATAGACAGCAGCGAGCACTTGGGAGCCTCTTCTTCCCTGTGGATACAGTAGAAGTCCAGGATATCGTGCTGCCAGGCTTGAGACTGTGTGAAAGCTTCGGCATAAAGTTGGGATGGTAACGGAGTGCTGGTGCAGACCCTGCCAGCTCTGCCCCAACCTTACACGCTTGCCTGCTGGGACAGCTGCCCCTCTGTTTGGTCCCAGCCATGAGGCTCGTGCAGGAGGCGGTGGGTGAGACAGTGAGAGGTTCTGACAACTTGTGCTGTGTTTCCATCTTGCAGGGGTGTTTTACAACTCCTCTGGCTCGGCACAGTGTTACGACATTTACCAGCTGTACCGGTCCTGTGCCGACCCTACGGGCTGCGGCGTGGGCTCAGATGCCGAGGCCTGGGACTACCAGGTGAGGTGTTGGAGACACCAACAGGTTTGAGCTGCTGCCCTGGTTATCCTCCTGTCTTGTGACAGCTCTTGTACCTCTCTTAGGTTTGCACCGAGATCAACCTAACTTTCAACAGCAATAACGTGACTGACATGTTCCCCGAGATGCCCTTCACAGAGGCCATGCGAGAGGGGTACTGTCAGAGCAAATGGCACGTGAGGCCGCGAGCACACTGGCTGCAGACAAACTTTTGGGGAGGAGGTGAGCTGTGCTGCCTGCTCGTCCCTTTGCTTTACCCGGAGGTTGTCTGCCCCCTGCCCAGCTGAGCTCCCTGGGGACAGGCACAATGCACTAACAAGTCCTGGCAGAAAGTCACACCCTGGTGATGACTTGAGCCAAACAGACCTTTCTGTACCTCCTTGAGAAAGAAGTGGAAAACCTAAAAACTGCCAAGAATTTGTTTTATTCTGTTCTCTGTTCTTGGCCATGTTTGCTGCAGTAGCCAAGCATGTTTGGGTATAAATGGGCAGGAAGGAGGCCTCTCAAATGTTATCTTTGAATTTCAGACCTCAAAAGCGCAAGCAACATAATTTTTTCAAATGGAGACTTGGACCCGTGGGCTGGAGGTGGGGTAAGCACGTGTACTCTTGCACACCCAGCACAGAGCGCAGCCTTTCCAGGTGATACACCACCCCCCTCCCTCTTTCAAAGCAGCACCAGCGATTGATCTTTAGCCCATTTGAGTTTCTGCAAGCAGCTGTTCTGTGCTGAACCATTCAGGAGCCTCAGGACATTAACGATGGACACACTGCTGGAGTCCATCAGACAGGAACACCGGAGCCTTCTTACCCAGCACCTCGGGTGTGAATCACAACCCGTCATGTTTCTGGGTTGAGACTTCATCTCGGTGCTGACAGCTGAGTGCTCCTTTCTGTCTCCAGTCTCAGCACACTTCATGAGACCCAGTGGCTGCTGTAAGCAGCAGCTTGAACCAGGGCATATTTGGTTCAACAAAGCTTCAGTGGTGGCAGAGCTCTAGTTTAAAATTTAAAACCAAAAATGACCCAGAACTAGATTCTAAGTAAGTTGAGCTGCTGCTGGTAATGCAGGGGTTCCTTGGTTTGGGCTGGCTTGGCACCCCCAGCTGCTCAGGGTGCACAAGCCCAAAGGAGCCGGTTACTTCAACCCACCTGCACTGGAGCAGGCTGACAGTTTTCATCTTGGGGGAAGCCTTTGCTTCATTTGAGAGATGATTTGGCTCATCAGCACTGTTAGCCATGCACAGTATCAGCCGTACCAAGGATGTCTTCCCATGCTTTTCCCCAGTCCTGCCCAGCTTGTCTCCCAGTTTTCAGAACTCTCGTCCAGTTCTGCTCAGTAACTTGTTTGTCTCTGCTCCTTCTCCTTACAGATAAATAGCAGCCTCAGTCCTTCACTAATTGCATTGACCATTAAAGGAGGCGCTCATCACCTCGATCTCCGGTAAGAACTGAACTTTCCTTTGCCTGACAAAATCCTCCTCCTCTGGATGTTTGATCTTAGCTAGCCACAGCCCAGAGAACCCAGAGATACTTCACTGGAAGAGCACTGGATGCCAGACCGGAGCAGCCGAACTGTGGGAGAACAAGCCTCTTCCCCAGTACGGGGCTCCTGCAGCCTTCAGGGAAGCCAGCCTCTGCAGAACTCAGCACTAAGCTCACACCCTTTCATTAGAACACATTCTTGCACAGGGACTGTCACAAGTGTGCGATAGCCTGGAGAGATCAGTTACGGGAAGTAGTCCAGAATCTCTTCGCGTTAGCCACCAGCCTTTGGGCCCAGAGCAAAGAGAGCAGCAGCCGCTGATGAGAGGGAGAGCTCAGGGCTCTCAAGGCTCCTCCCAACCCCTGGGGGGTGCAATGCTGCAATTTGTTTTCCAGGGCATAAATATGAAGTACAAAAGATACGATCTGTGTCAAATTCCCTGCTTGGCTTTCCCTGTGCAAGAGGCCAAGAGCTCCTAGCTCACGCTGCTCTGCTTTCTCTAGAGGACATAATCCAGCCGACCCCCCGTCCGTCACAGCGGTGCGCAAGCTGGAAGCGAGCATCATCGACGGCTGGGTGAAGTCTGCGGGGATGGAAAGAGCACGGGAGCAGCGCTCGGGAGCTTCAGCCGGGGGCTGGCTGTAAATACGTCCATGCCCGCGGCCTCTGGCAGGGGTGGGAGGCTGCCACTGGGACACAAAAAGCAGCTGGCTGCGCTGTGCCTGTGCTGTTTGATGTGCCGTGACAGTGGAAATTCACCTTTCTGAAGTGTCCCAGCTGCCCCTAATCATGCATCAAAAGAAAAGCAAAAGGACAAATCACTGAAGCCAAAACCACATTGCGTGGGCTTCGTGCTCACCTGCTCAGAACAAGAAGGCATAAATGGTGGAAATAATAAAAGCTTGCCTGGGCGGTCCAAGATTGTCCTGATACTGTCCTGAGCAGCAGGAGGCACCTTAAGGCTGAAGCTACATTATTTTTAGACAAAAAGTAAATATTAGATGACTAGTGGAAAAACAGAGGTCTGGTCATTATTCACACAGGTTCACAGAGGATTCCACTAGTGAGCAGTTATATTAAAAAGGCTGTGCCAGCCCCAGCCAGGGCTGGGGGGCTGGGGTGTGTCTGTTTTTAACTTGCACAAGTGATCTCCAGTTGCTGAGTTGTAGATTTACAGAAAGTAATCCCGGTGGGTACTGCTGCGTATTAGTGACTAGTAAAGCACACTTCCACTGCAGACATCTTCAGATGTTTTTAAAATAAATTACAAGTTTATTAAAGTGTGTGGTATAATTTTATGGCTTGGTGGTATAACCAAAGAACACACGAAAGGATACTTCTGAACTTTCCAGGTGGAGTAAGTTCATCTTTGCACATAAACAGGCAGATTCTTACCTACTGGAATTACTATGCACCAATAAATACTAGCATAATTGCCAAAATATTAATCCTGGTAACCAATCTGAGACCTCAGTTGATCCATTCACAATGATTTTATGTGTTAGCAGAGAAGCCTCCCAGGTCATCAAAGGCTTACGTTACTTACACAGCAAAGTCTCAGCATTGCTGCAGATTCTGTTGGCACTGCTCAAACACAAGGCTTTGTGTGAAGTATTTGCACTGCTGGGGCCTCCCTGTCATCACAGTACGATTGGTTCCCAGATCTACGTTGTCAAGTCACTGATGCTATTTCACAATATTCGGGTGCTGACTAAAGGGTTTTTTGCATACGACCCGCTTACCTCCTCCCTTTTCTGCTCCCTACCCCTCCTGAGGAGTGCGGGAAGAGCAGGAGCAGATGAAGTCCATTTATCAGATCTTTCAGATGTGTACAAATGAAGGACAACATATGGAAGACCCAGTTGGTCAAACTCAAGCCCCCAAAGAAAAACATGTTAAGACTGTTGGTGGAACTACATCCTCAGTAAGACCTGCATCTTCTCCATTTATGCTCATGAAAACCTCTACACCTCTGCTAAGGACTGTCAATGTCCCTTGTGCTCATAGTTGGGCTTTAGGGCTCATACAATGCTGCCACCTCCAGCCTCACTGAGATGCTAGGATCTGGTGTTCATCCTCCATGCTCCCAGATTCCCTCCTGACTTTCCTGAATTTAGACTTGCTGTACCCCAGCAATTATTCAGGACTAGCACCACCTTAAAGCAGACAGCAGTGGATGTGTCTGCAGACAGGGAGGGTTATATTTTGCTTATGTTACTTTCCTAACAGCACCCGTAGCTCCCTGCATGCAGGCACCCTAATTAAACCAACCCAGCACTGCGCTGGAAGCAGCCAAGTGCAGGACAAGTCTTTCGGAAAATCTGCAAATTACTGCTTTTGGCCAGTGGCTTGTTTGGTGCCTTTGAGTGAACTGAGA